ACGTGAAAGGCGCTCTATAAATGGAATCTTGTTGTTGTTGTTGGTATCAGGAATGAGGAACTTAATAATAATAATCCTTACATTTGATATAGCGCTTTTCAAATCTTCTAAGGGTCTTAAAGCTTCACAGAATAGACTGTAAAGTTCATATATACTGTATACTTGTGGGCAAAATTGGGCAGCCAATTGCGCACAGCAGTATCCCACAGTCATGGATGAAATGACCAATTTTTTTTGAGGGATTATTATCAAGCGTGTGGAGTGAGGAAACCTGCCCGAGGTTTCAGTCTGTCAGGAATGTAACCCAGGTCTCTCGCTTACAAAGCGAGTGCTCTAACCACTGAGCTACAGGACTTGAGTAATGTGGAGAGATTGGAGAAGCTAGGATTATTCTACTTGGAGCAGAGAAGGTTAAGAGGAGACTTAATAAAGGTGTTGAAAATTATGAGTGAATTTGATGGAGTGACTAAGGAGAAACTGTTTCCACTTGCAGGTAGGTCGGTAACCAGAGGACACAGATTTAAGATAGTTGTCAAAAGAACCAGTGGGGAGGTGAGAAGAATTGTTTTCACACAGCGAGTTGTTCAGATCTGGAATGCATTGCCTGAAAGGGTGATGGGAGCTGATTCAATAACAACTTTTAAGAGAGGACTTGATAGATATTTGGGAGAACAAATTTCCAAAGTTATGGGGAGAGAGCAGGGGAGAGGGATTCTTTTGAGTTGCTCTGTCAAAGCGCTGGCACGGACACTATGGGTCAAATGGCCTCTTTGTGTGCTGTATAATTCTATTAATTCACAATATTATCCACCTTCCTCATTCTCTCTTAATCTATCAGTCTCTTTCTCTCCTTCCATTAACTCTCCTGTTTTCTTCCTATTGCCGCCTTGACCAACATAAACTGTTGAATTATCAATAAAATCAGGACCGCAAGATAATAATAATAATCCTTCCATTTGATGTAGCACCTTATCAAGTCTTCAAGCCGTCTCAAAAGTGCTTCACAGAATATACTGTAAAGTGAATTGACTGTGTAATTTGTGGGTGAAACGTGGCAGCCAATTGCACACAGCAGCGTCCCACAGACAGTCGTGGGTTGAAGTGACCAATTTATTATCTTTTTTTGAAGGAATTTGAAAGAAAGATGACTTTCTTTTGCACATAAAGGAATGGCCAGTCTATAGATGTGAAGCTCGGCATTGAGTATCAACGGACTATTGGACTTGAGGGACTTTGGTCAACTGGCAAACAAACACTGCCTTTTCTAGCAGGAATGACTGGTTAAGTATTGGGAGTAGGAACCCTGGTTGATTCCTTCCCCAGGCCAATGACGGAGCTGAGATCAGCTAACTCCAGCTCTAATTGTAATTTATTGTTGATTGGTATGGCTTGCTGCTGCTGTACCTCAGGCCAGGAAGGTGAGGGGCCGACATTTCCTCTCCTCCTCCAACTTTCCTGAATATTGCATGAGCAGATTTGACTGCCAATGCAGTCATTACATTTTAAAATAAAATCCTGTGAAGGGCTTTGAGAGGTTTGGGCAATATAAGGCTCCAAATTATTAAAAATAATACTCTATATTAATAATATATATTATTAATAATAACTCTTGCATTTGATATGGCGCCTTATCACATTGTTGAGATGTCTCAAAGCGCTTCACAGGATATACTGTAAAGTGAAGTGACTGCGTATTTTGTGCTGATGTGTATTATTATCAGGCTTTTCTGTGATACTCTATGGTCACATTAATACATTATTATATATTAATTCATATTATATATAAATATATAGTAGATTATTAATATAGAGCCTTTTCACAATTAGGCAAACCACTGTTTTAGTAAACGTAACATCATATCATAACTATTTTTAGGGCAGTAAAAAGTGGTACATTGTTTTCTAATTTGGATTTTTTCATGAATTATTTTTTTCAATGTTTAGTTTATGTGGAAAATCAGTCCTCTATCTATTAGTATATAAATAATCTGCTCTGAGGCTAGAGGATTTTCCATTTCCATTATTTTTGATAATGCTAAACACATTTTCATGAATACAAAACATGCAGGATATGAAAAGAAGTACATCTAAAATAAACTGTTTCATGTTTTGCTTCACCTTTTGGTCTCCAGAGAAACACTGATATAAGATGTCATGTATTTACATCGTGTTTTGCAATCAGCAGGTGCAATAAAACGGTCACAATTTTACTCAGCACATGCAACTTTTGCAATCAGTAGGTGCAATAAAATGAACTGCAGTACTACATACTTAATTTTGCAATTAAAAACAACTTTAAGATCGAATTCTACTGTTAGCAAATTGGAAATTCTTAGGAGTCACTCAAGTCATTCCAGCTTTAATTGTCAAATTATCAAATCTCACTGGAGGATTCAAACCCTTTTCTATAAACAGCCAGATTTGTCACCCAGACCTGCTACCTCTGCATGCTAGACAATTCTGCAACTCACAGATTTTTATGCATTGATTATAACAGATGAAGTAGCATTTATAGATATGGCTCCAAAACACATAATGGCTACATACCAATTCTAAACAGAGTGCCTGACTAAATAGAGCAACTAACTTCACTAACTAACTCCACTTAACTAACTCCACTAACTAACTCCACTCTATGATGTTTCTAACACTGTACAAGATTGATTTCTTAGTTTAAACAATCTTCCTACATTCCCTCCTGTGCATTGCTACTGCTAAAAAGTGACAAATCCCCTGGTCTGGATGGTTTGCTTCCCAGGGTTTTAAAAGAGGAGCTTATGAGTTAGTGGAGGCCTTGTGTCTGATCTTCCAAAATTCCTCAGATTCTGGAACAGTGCCCATGGATTGGAACATCGCAAATGTCACACCACTATTTAAAAAAGGTGGAAAAGGAAAAGATGGGGAATTATAGGCAGTTAGTCTCACATCAGCGATAGGAAACATTTTAGAATCGTTGATTAAGGATGTGGTAGTACGGCATTCAGGGCACAATATAATTAGTCCAAGTCAACATGGCTTTACAAAAGGGAAGTTATGTTTGACAAATCTCAGAGTTTTTTGAGGTTATTTCGAGTAAACTAGATAAGGGTGAAGCAGTGGATGTGGTCTATTTAGACTTCCATGGATTGGGGAATGGTTAACGGGTAGGAAACAAAGAGTAGGAATAAACGGGTCCTTTTCAGATTGGCGGGATGTGACTAGTGGATGCCACAAGGATCAGTCCTTGGGCTTCAGCTATTTACCATCTACATCAACGATCTAGATGAGGACATTGAAGTTAATATATCTAGATTGCGGATGACACAAAACTAGGAGGAAGTGTCACCACAGAGGACGACATTAAAAAAATGCAGTACGACATAGAAAGGTTAGGTGATTGGGCAGGTAGGTGGCAGATGAAGTATAATGTAGGGAAATGCGAAGTCATCCACCTCGGGAGCAAAATAATGCAATAATGGAGTCATGGAGTCCTGTAGCTCAGTGGTTAGAGCACTCGCTTTGCAAGCGACCTGAGTTCAATTCCAGTCAGGGCGAAACCTTGGGCAAGTTTCCTTACTCCACACAGAGCCTAATAATAATCCCTCCAAAAAACAAAACAATAATAAATTGGTCATTTTCAATCTACGACTGTTTGTGGGACATTGCTGTGCGCAATTGGCTGCCACGTTCGCCCACAAATATACAGTCAATTCACTTTACAGTGTGTTCTGTGAAGCACTTTGGGACGTCCTCCTGACGTGAAAAGCGCTATATCAAATGCAAGGATTATTATTATTATTAAAAACAGGAGAGCGGGTTATTTTTTAGAAGGGGAGAGACTGGAATGTGTTAGTGTCCAGAGGGACTTGGGTGTCCTTGTACACCAATCACAGAAAGTTAGTCTGCAGGTGCAGCAGCAATTAGGTAGGCGAACAGTATGTTAGAGCACTCTAGAAGTTATGTTATGCTATGTTATGCCAGGCATCCACCAAACAGTTTGACATTATAATGTTGCAGTCTGTAAACAACAACAAGATTACATTTGTATGGCGCCTTTCACGTCGGGAAGACGTCCCAAGGCCTTGGACAGTGTACAGCAAGTAATGTCACCTACCACTATTTGAAACTTTGTGTAAATAACGTTATTATCTTAAAGAAAGCCCTTATAAATAATGCACTTATATTAGGTATTGGAATATTGCCCCCCAAACATATGGCATTTCCTTTGGAAATGTATTTATAGCCCACTATCAATCAGTCTCATTGTGCAAAGCCCCTTTATTCATAAAATATAGTTAATAAGATTCATTGTGAGTAATATTAAACATTTCCAATATTCAACATTTCAAGAATTGTCCTGCATTCAAACTAGGCAAATCAGTGAATTCAGCAAGTTAACTGAACTGAGCTAATTCATGTTACATCAAGATCAAAATTCAGTTTGGTTCTGATCGTGAGTGATCATATGTAACCTGCGCTGTAAACAAGATAAATCATTGTTGACTAAAAAAGGAATTTGTTAGAATAGGATATAAAAACTGCAATACAAATAACTGAAAGAACACAGGGNAAAAAAATTACTTCCGAATTTCTGTTTCTATCACTTAACAGTTATATTGACCTTGCAAAGTATTCATTAAACTGGAATTTATTGCAATATTGAGAATGATAACACTGATCCATTAATAACAATAAGTATACATTTAGATCATGTTCTTTCATAAGGATATTAGATATGGTCTTGCTACAGCATTCAGTTTTCACAAAAATGTCCTGCCCCTCAAGGGCAAATCTTCAGACACAGAATGATCAGTCCTGCAGTGCTGAGACTAAAGGCCTAGATAGGCATCTCTAAAGACATATTACTGCTTAGGGCCATGCCACTTCCAATATAACTGTCATTTGCGGCTGCTATGTAAAATTTGTCTGGGGAACAGTGCATTTCATTTAGTGTCAGAGGAAACCCATGTGTAGACAACCGCTGTTTAAAGCAGAAGATATGAAGCAGCATTTTTACTCACCCGGGTTTGTTATGGTCAGGAGGTCAAGGCGACGATGTTGCTAAAAGACAAACAAACACTGTGTTATAACAGATTGACCATTTTTTTCAGCAAAATGTGCAGCAAAATTGCCCAATTTGCTGAAAAATCATATTATCTTTAATAGTATTTTGCTGTGCTTATCATTAGAGAATTTCTCATCACCAGTTTAACCCCTCGAGCCGTTGGGATAAAATATTATTCAGAATCACGTATTCACATTTTGTCAAAATATTTAGTCGTGTGATGTCTCATGTATAATAGCAGTTCCATCCGTAACATAAAATTGCAAACTCAACATGGTAATGACTCTATCATTGCCCTAAAAACTGAACCAAAAAATATTAGGTATGAATTAGAAAGGATTGTGGTTATTCTTTCTCCACTTGATAAGGTAGTATCCTGCCGATCACAGTTAGTGAGGCATTCTAGACGAACAAATAAATAAATCTCACTTATTATTTTGTGTGTATGTAAAGCATTCTGAGATGTTATCCTAACGTTATGCAGTGGCAGTGATTGCTATTTAGTGTTCAGGTGGGTATCTTTCTCAGCCGAGTCATTTATAATTTCAGTAAATACATATCTTATGGGATTTGAAATATTAAACCTGTTGTCCATTTCTTCATTCTCAGTTTTGTTACAGTTTTTTGGAACCTGGGCCTAAATTACTCTGTTCTTTAAAAAATACCCAATATTTTGCCCTGTCTACAATTTTGCCAATTTCAGTAAACATGAATTTTAGATCTCAGTCGCATAACAAACATACAATACCTTCTTATTCTAGTGCTTTTCTTGTTCACATCATCCAGTTGTCCTTGATAATGGTAATTATCACAGGAGTAAATTATTACATGCAACTTTTAGGCATTTTCAGGCAAGCTTTGATTTAGCATTGATTTTTTTAAAATTTACATTGGGGATTTCTATTGTTTACTTTCTTAATTGTACAAAAAGACACTGATTTAATTGCTGACATTCTTTTCTTACACACTAAATTTTTGTAAGTTTTTTTTTACACTTTGAATTAACATCAATAGTTACTAAAGAGTACAATGGTGACAGCCCCAGCCAACAATAATCTCTTGTTTGGTGTTTCACTGTGAGCATACTTATCTACTTAATAGTTGTTACTGTGAATGTGGTGTAGATCCAATTTCTACAATACTCAACAAGTTTAGTGGCTAGAGTAAAAAGGAAAATCAATTTGGAGACTTTTTTCAATGTATCCTAGTCTTTCCACAACATGGTCTGAAGAATCCTTGGCTCTGATGGCTGCAGTTTTTCCATAAACTTAAATATCTTCCGATAGCTAGAAGAAGGTAGAAAGCCTCATGCTCTAATGACACAATCAATCATATTGAATTGAGAGTTGAGTCTCCAGTATGTTCATTGAATGGCCAAGAATCGTATGTCTTCATTGGAAACTATGATTGAGGTTTGTGTAAATACTCCATAACCTTCAGCCAAAATAAATCTTGTATATTAAGGACTTTGGCAGACAGAATTTAAATCACCTTACTGCAGGAAGGACTTAGGGCACTGGAAAGGGTACAGAGGAGATTCACGAGAATGATACCAGGAATGGGGAACCTTAGCTATGAGGACAGTGGAGAAGTTAGGACTTTTCCCATTAGAGCAGAGAAGGTTACGCGGGGACCTGATAGAGGTCTTCAAGATCATGAAAGGTTTCGACAGGCGAGATAAGGAAAAGCTGTTTCCGCAGGTAGGTGTGTCTGTGACCTGTGGTCACAGTCTTAAGATATCTACCAAAAGAAGTAGAGGGGAGGTTAGGGTTAGAAGAAATGTTTTCACTCAGCGAGTTGTTAGAATTTGGAATGATCTGCCCGATAGGGCAGTGAAGTCTGATTCGATAACAGCTTTTAAGAGAGAACTGGACAGGTATCGGGGGAAGACGGGTTTGCAGCGTTATGGGGAGAAAGCTGGTGATTGGGGTTAGTGAAAGTGACGCTCTGTCAAAGAGCCGCACAGACTCGATGGACCGAATGGCCTCCTTCTGTGCCGTAACATTCTATGAATCTATGAATCTATGATATGTATCAAGCTGGTATCCAACTCACCAACTTGTCTTTTATTTACTGGTAATATCTTGTGAGGAGAACATAGATTTCAACAGAAGATTTCAGCAGAAATCCCTGCTCTCAGATGCAGCAAATCACTTCAAAAGTATTAAGATGCATCAATACTCAAAAAAGTAAGAAAAAGATGCAGAAGGCTCAGTTAGGCACATGGGAAGCACTGTATATTCTGCAAGTTTATTGTATACACGGGCTTTTCTAATATAGAATTAAATCAAATCTGGGACTGATTTTAGCAGCTTGCTGTGCAGGGTAAAACAATAGGATGTACAGATAACTAGAGAAATTGGGGCTGTTTTCACTGGGTTAAAGAAGGATGGCAGGAAACATGAAATAGATAATAATAATAATCCTTGCATTTGATATCATGTGACCTTATCGCATTGTTGAGATGCCAAAGCATTTCCCAAAATATACTGCAAAGTACATATAAAGTATACTGTCAAGTACATATAAAATATACTGTAAAGCTGAACAGAATAATGAGAGGTTTTTAATGGGGTAAATAAGGAGAAACATTTATACTGGCCAGTGAGTTGCTAGCTGGAGGGCATCGATTTAAGATTACCAAAAAACAAACCCCAAAAAGTCAAAACAGAATCCAGTACAGCTTTAAAAAGGAAATTAGACAAATATTTGAAAAAGAGAATTATAAAGTGGTGAAAGAGCAGTGAAATGGAACTATATGTGGGTAGTATTTTCAGGGATTCAATGCGGTCACTTTGGGCCAAATGGTCTGCTTCCGTGTTGTAAATTCTATGACCTTTACAGATAGATTTCCCGCAAAACAAAACTTTAGAAATGTAGGCCTAAGCTTCCCTTTGGATGTGCCATTTAAAAGGATCCAAATCATGGTGTTGAGGAGGTTTGAAATGAAGAATAAATGTTTTCCAGATCAATGCCAGGTATAGGGCCATGAGATTACAAATGATGCTTTAGAAAATGCAAGTACAACAATATTGGAGGTAGGATAGGATCAGTGCAGAAAACTGATTGGTGTCACTCTACTGTTTCTCCTTTATAATGGATATCATGCAGCTAAATACAATTTGCCAAATACGTTTTATTCATAATTTGTCAAATTAATTAGATTTATTAATCCAATCAAACTTCAGACTGTTGACGATTATAGAAAAATGATTATTCTCTACATTGTGCTTACAGTGCCTCTTCTTTGCTGGTTCTTTGAAGATTTGCAAAGCCATATGTTTAGAGTTTGTGAGTTGGATCTTTTATCTTTAAGATATCTCCACTGTTTGCCTACAAAATATTCACTGCACTTTACAGTTATTCCTGTAACATTCTCCTGATATGAAAGGTGCAATATCAAATGCAATCTTTTTTTTAAATAAAGAATCCTTGTATTTGATGAAGCATCTGTATGAATCAAAATGTCTCAAAACACTTCATAGGTATTTCTCAACAAGTGCAGTGACTGTGTATTGTTCATGCATATGTAATCTAAAGTTTTGACACATATGCAAAAATAAATGAATCACTAAAATCCAACATAAAGATGGTTGTTATACAAAATATAATTACAGGGTTTTTCTCTGGTCTATGCATGCAATAAATTGTGATTTCTGTGTCTACACAATAAATTGTAAGTATCTATTCAAACAAATTTGTAGCAGGCGAAATCATCAGAAGATGAAGTCCAACAAAACAAGAAAGATTAGAAATAGCATCTCTTGCTTTTAAATCCCATTTTCAAAATTATTATGTAAAATCTGAATTCCAATATGTAAATCCTCCTGGGTGCCCGAGGTAGTATCACTTTCATAGATTCTGTTAGACATATATTGTCCCAGTCTCCTATCACTGCTAAGCATTTTTTAAAAACTCTCTCTTGTTCGTCCGTTTATAATAATAAATCCTTGCATTTGATATTGCGCCTTATCACGTCTTTGAGAGGTCTAAAAGAGCTTCACAGAAAATGCTGTAAAGTGAATTGACTGTATATTTTGTGGGTGATACACAGCAGCCAATTGCACACAGCAGCGTCCCACAAACAGTCGCAAATTGAAGTGACCAAATAATAATTATTATTATTTGTTTTTGAAGGGATTATTACCTCCAGAAAAGTGATCTGTTAATTGACTAACAACTTCAGACGTGTAGAGAAAGAAAGAAAACTTGCCCAACATTTCGGCCTGCCCAGGAATCAACCCAGGTTGCGAGGCGAGGGCTCCATCCACTAAGTTTACTCCCTTTTAATAATAATAATAATCCTTGCATTTGATATAGCGCTTTTCACGTCGGGAGGACGTCCCAAAAGCGCTTCACAGAACACCCTGTAAAATGAATTGACTGTATATTTGTGGGCGAACGCGGCAGCCAATTGCGCACAGCAATGTCCCACAACCAGTCATAGATTGAAAATGACCAATTTATTATTGTTTTTGGTTTTGGAGGGATTATTATTAGGCTCTGTGTGGAGTAAGGAAACTTGCCCAAGGTTTCGCTCTGCCTGGAATTGAACTCAGGTCTCTCACTTGTAAAGCGAGTGGTCTAACCACTGAGCTACAGGACTCCCTTACATATGATCATTTTCTTGCCAATTCTATCACATTCTTTCCTCGGACCTCAAGTCTGTGAAGCTCTTTACAGTTAGTGTGCAGGTCTTCAGAGCCTAAGCTTAGCATCACTTAACTGATACTCTGGGTTTTTGTCTCTTCTGTCCTATTTTTCCCCATTATGGCAAAGCCTCAATTACATGTCCTGTACATTCACCATTTGGCACATTCATATAGCTTACGATAATAAAGTGATGTTTTTTGATAGAGTTGAACTTCAGGTTGAAAATTCAAAAATCCTGTTACATTATGAGGGAGAATGAAAGTGTCTGAATTAAACTGCAGCAGTCGTGCTGCATCGTGGTCATGACTGTGTGTCTGTGTGAGGCCAGTGGCCGGTAGGTAGC